TGGGTGCCTCTAGAGGTCTCCTTTGGACATGGCCAAACCACCTCAACTGATGTTGGACAAGTTTTTTTTCAATTGGTGCTACCCCTAGACGATCACGTATATCATCGTTCCGAACTCGGTCCATTCTTGTGTGACCACAAATCCATCGCAACATACACATTTCTGCAACACTCAGTTATTGAACATGTCGAATCTTTGTAGGCCAACACTCTGCTCCATACAACATAGTCGGTCTAATCGCCGTTCTATAAAACTTGCCTTTTAGCTTTTGTGGTACCCTCTTGTCACGGAGAATGCTAGAAGCTTGTCACCACTTGATCCACCCTGCTTTGATTCTATGGCTAACGTCCGCATCAATATCTCCATCCCTTTGTAGCATCAGTCCCAGATACTGAAAGTTATCCTTCTTAGGCACTACTTGACCTTCCAAACTCACATCTCCCTCCTCCTGTGTAGCTCCGCCAAAGTCACATCTCATGTATTCGGTTTTAGTTCTGCTCAATATAAAATCTTTAGACTCAAGGGTCTGCTGCCATAACTCTAGTTTCCTATTTACTCCCATCTGGCTTTTGTCCACTAACACTACATCATCAGCGAACAACATACATTAAGGGATATCCCCTTGTATGTTCCTGGTAACCTCATCCATTGCCAAGGCAAAGAGATATGGGCTTAAGGTTGACCCTTGATGAAGTCCAATTTTAATCGGGAAGTAATATGTGTTACCATCGTTTGTTCGAACACTAGTCACAACATTATTGTACATGTCCTTGATGAGGGTCACATACTTTGATGGGACTTTATGTTTATCCAAAGCCCACCACATAACATTTCTTGGTATCTTGTCATAACCCTTCTCCAAGTCAATGAAAACTATGTGGAGGTCCTTCTTCTGCTCACTAAACCACTCCATAACTTGTCTTATTAAGAAGATTGCTTCCGTGGTTGACCTTCTGGGCATGAAACCAAATTGGTTTATTGATATCTGCATCGTTCCTCATAGGCATTGCTCGATGACTCTCTCCCATAACTTCATAGTGTGGGTCATCAACTTAATTCCTCGATAATTAGTACAACTTTGGATATCTCCCTTGTTCTTGTAGATTGGTACCAATATGCTTCTTCTCCACTCCTCAGGCATCTTGTTCGATCGAATGATATTGTTGAACATCTTGGTTAGCCATACTATAGCTATATCCCCGAGACATCTTCACACCTTGATTGGGATACCATCAGGGCCCATCGTTTTGCCCCCTTTCATCATTTTCAAGGCTTCTCTGATCTTCGATTCTTGAATCCTCCGCACAAAGCGCCTGTTAGTGTCATCAAATGAGTCATTCAGCTGAACGGTGATGTTCTCATTCTCACCATTGAACAATTTATTAAAATACTCTTGCCATCTATGTCTGATCTCATCCTCCTTCACCAAGAGCTGCTCCCTCTCATCCTTTATGCACTTGACTTGGTTGAAGTCCCTTGTCTTCCTATCACGAGCCCTAGCCATCCTATAAATGTCCTTCTCTCCTTCCTTTGTACTCAAACATTGGTAAAGGTCCTCATAGGCCTGCCCCTTTGCCTCACTCACCGCTCGTTTTGTAGTCTTCTTTGCCACCTTGTACTTCTCTATGTTGTTTGCACACCTGTCATGATACAAGCGCTTATAGCACTCCTTTTCCTTAATAGCCTTTTGCACATCTTCATTCCACCACCAAGTGTCTTTCGAGTTGCATCCACTCCCTTTGGTCACTCCAACCTCCTCTGAAGCAACCTTCCGAACGCATGTTGCCATCTTCTCCCACATGCTGTTTGCATCGCCTTCATCATTCCAAGGGCCCTCTTCAATGACCTTTCCTTAAAGACCTTTGATGCCTTCCTTTCTAATTTTCACCACTTCGTTATAGCAACCCTAGCTTGTTTGTTCCCACGAGCTTGCACTAGAAAGCGGAAGTAAACCACCACCAGCTTGTGTTGAGCGACCACACATTCTCCAAGTATCACCTTACAGTCCACGCATGTCCGTTTATCCCTCCTTGTAAGGACAAAGTCGATTTGACTAGAGTACTGGCCGCTACTAAAGGTCACCAAATGGGACTGTCTCTTACGGAAGAAAGTGTTAGCTATCATCAGATCAAAAGCTATGGCGAAGTCTAAGACTTCCTCTCCCTTCTAGTTCCTACTACCATATCCGAAACCCCCATGAACCGCCTCGAAACCTGCACTTGATGTACCAACATGGCCATTAAGATCACCTCCTATAAAGTGCTCTCGCTACTAGGGACATCTCTAACCAAGCGATCTAAGTCTTCCCAGAAAAGCCGCTTAGCACTCTCATCATGGCCTACTTGGGGGCATATGCACTAATTACGTTTAAGACCATAGCACTAATGACAAGTTTAACTAAGATGATCCTATCCCCTTGCCTTCTCACCTCCACCACATCATCCTTGAGGCTCTTATCAATCAAAACTCCTCCATTTTTATTTAAAGTTGTCCATGTGTACCAGAGCTTGAAGACGGTATTGTCCACCTCGTTTGCCTTCTGCCCCTTCCATTTAGTCTCTTGGACGCAAAAGATATTTACATGCCTCCTAACCGCTGTGTCCACTAACTCTCTTAACTTACTCGTAAGGGACCCTACATTCCAGCTACCTAAATGGATCCTAGTTGGCTCAACTAGCTTACTTACCCTTCGCATCCGCCGAGGTAGGTGTGAAGACCCTTGTTCATTTTGCACCACACTCGGGCGCCGATGTGGTGCGCCATTAAGGATGCGACGACCTGATCCTTGCTCACTTGACACCGTGCCTAGATCGCGACACGGTGCGTCACGGGGGTGACGTTCCGGCCCTTGCTCATTTAACACCATAACCGGGTTCCGACATGGCGCATCGCTAAGAGGGTTATGCCCCAATGAGATTCTTTTGGGTTTCATCTCCATAAAAGTGGCTAAGTTTTTATATTGGCTTGCCGCGCCTAACACAATCCTCCTCCTTTACTAGGACACGGAACATGCTATGCAGGGACACCAAAGGCTCCCCACCATACAAAATTAAATATATATAGTAAATGGATATATATTGGAAGAGCACGAAAGATAGCATATGTGACTGTCTAGCACCAACTCTCTAGGAACATGACAAATGCATGTCTTCTTAACCAAACATGCGTAAGTCCTTTTTAGGTAAGGAATTTTATTCCAGCCTCTCCTCTACATAAGGCATGCAGTCAACCATTCAGTATTGCAGTCTCAGCTCATGTCTGTGGTGGAGAATGCAACCAAACTAAAGTGCCAACAAATATCTAAGGTTTAAAGCAACTAAGGCAAGGTAAAAGTTCAAGCATTGAGCATATGAATAAACAACCACCAATGCCTAGCAAAAATCGACATGACCATTGTTTCTAAGGTTCCACATACCTTTTTCATCATTTGTTGAGTATCTTCCTTTTGTAACATAGCCTAGAAGCTGGTCCGATAATGTGTTGCCCTATGAAGAACATGTGTTGCCCTATGAGACCCGTTTGAACCCGCGCTGCACCCGAACCAACTTCGTGTACCTAAAAAATACAAAATGATTGTGGACCTTTTTGCACATCTGGCCAAGTTCAAGAACCGCCGATAAACTTTATTCATATTTTAATGAATTCAAGTTGTATCGGTTTTGACAAGATAATTTTATCTTTCAACAATGTTGCTTTAGTGTTCCTTTTTGATAAATGTTGAAAACCTCTTTATTCTTGCAATCTACTTCCTGAAATACTCCTAAATGATTTTTCTGCCCTTATTATGCTTTCTAGAATATCCCAAGAACAATTGTCAATGTAATTACAAAATTAATTAATACCATTAGCAGGATACATAACATATGTGAGTGTGTATGACATCATCTCCATGAAAGCATAACAAATGTATTTCTCCTTACAAAACACAAATATATCAAGTCTTAGCTCTTACCATAGGGAAACTTTTGAAATATGGATCGCAAAACGTCTGAATCATCCACACTTCTGGTGATGAGGTTGTTTTTCATATGTGCTATAAGAACTACCATTAAATTACAAATAATGAGAGAAACTAAAAACTATTGTAGTGCTGACTATACCATGATTATATAATGTGAAAGTATATCAAATGCCATGTGAAATTAAAGTCCGATCCATCCCAACCAAGATATATAGTTTTGGCTTTGCACGTGTACTACTACGTTGCTTTTTCTAATATTGCAAAGTTCATGTTTTGAGTTCATCTACTTTGCCGTTTTCTCCAACATATTCTGTTACTTATTTATCTATTATAACCCTCAGTCAAGGTTTACATTATATTTTGGTCATCTGATGCACAAACAAAGCAAAATACCAAGCTCCGACACCCACATAACCCTCTAATGAAGTTGCCTCTATAATAAATGGTAATATTTGTTATACATTACACAAATATTCCCTTGATAATGTCAAATCACACTTATTAGGACTAAAGATATACACACTAAATATGTGTGTTTTTGTGGGATGAGCATAAGATGCCATGGACTTATTATATCATTGAGGATTTGTTCAACATAATTATGAAAATAACAAAATAAATGGCATTGAAAGACAAATAATAAGGCATGAAAGCTAGTCTGACCACACCCAACATAAATATATGTAGCTCTCCTAATTCTCAATATTTGATGAATACATTATGCTTCTGGCTGATGAAGTACGTACATATCCTGATATTTGAAGTAGGAATTGGTGATCAATCCTCAAACACGACATTTTATAACTTCACAATTTCAAATTGTTTGACTCCAATTCAGAGAACTCCTAAACAACAAGTTGACTTTCATAACTTAGGCAAACTAAATAATAAACCACGAGAGCTGATTCTACGGAGGTGAAGGGCCGGACATACATGCACGCACATGCAACCAACATTATTATAGCCTGCATGTATGAACATGCATGATAAAGATTACTGTATCCAGCAAGCACACTTATATTAGGACAGACAGCAGCAGCTACAGTTCCTGTTCCCCGAGAAGAACTCCGATGTTGAGGAGTGAGATGCCGAGCAGCATCACAGCAAACGCGCAGAAGCAGAGCATCGGTGCCGCCTGCCTGTCCGCCACCGCCGCCGCCGCACTAACAGCAGAGGACGCCAAGAGGAGGCCCACGAGGGCGAGCTTGCGGCGCAGGCAGTGTACGAGCGCGCGTACACCAGCTGAGAGCAACCCGGGGCGGCCTATGGGCGCCGTCGGGTCGTCGGCGGCCCGGACGCCGACGAAGATGAAGCTAGCGCCGGCGAGCACCCCGGCGAAGTTGAGAAGCAAGACCAAAGTGCCGGCAGAGCCGACGCCCGCGCCAAAGGCAATCAGCGTGAGGGTGAGGCCGGTGGCCGTCAACTCGCTGCCCCGAGTGGCCATCGGCGGCGTGGCGGAGTGTTCACCTCACCTGTCGACGGGCGCGGCGAGATCACGCGCGCAAAATTATTAGAGCCAAATGAAAAAGGAAAAAAAAACTCGTTTGCAATGCAGCTTACCCAAGGTGGTGGTGGCCGTGAAGTCGCATATATAGCACCTGAGATACCTATACCCCCCCCCCACCCCCCCACCGCGTCGTGCCCCAACGACGGCTCCGCTCCCCAACGTGCTCCTGTCCCCCCTTCCCCAACGCACCCCCTTCCCCAACTGCATCATCGAAAAAAATAAGTAGTGCAACATTGATAAACATGTATTGCAACATCGAAAAATATCTACTGCAACAACGAAAAATATCTACTGCAACAAACAAAAAAATATGTACTGCAACATCGAAAAAATAAAAAAACCGACGAATTCGGTACGGTTTATCGGTTCCACCGAAGAAACCGAGTTCACAGCAACAGAAGGTGTGCGTACCTCGGCACCTCCCTCGCGGCTCTTCGCCTCAGGCCGCGCTCAACCGCTCATGCTGTCCGGCGCTGTGCCACCTCGTCCCCATCGCGGTCTGCGCGACCTTGCCTTGCCTCGATGCGCCGCCACGCGACTCCGCCCTAGCCTCGATGCGCCGCCGCGCGACCCCACCCCGCCCCGATGCCGCCGCGCGACCTGTCCCGCCTCGATGCGGAGGTGCGCAGCGCAGGCGTTGCGGCCTCGACGCCTCGCGACCTGGCCCCGCTGTGGCGCTGTTTTTTTTCCTCTACTGAGTGCTGATGCGTAGCGTAGGGGGATGGTAATGGGCCGGGGTGTGCTGAGTGCGGAGATGACAGAGAAGGATTCGGCTTCTCGGTTCGGTTGGCTAGCGAAACCGAAGCCGAAGCTGGCCACCGAACATCCTAGGTATTAAAACCGAGACCGAAAACAAAAACTGAAAAACCCGACATTTTGGTTCGGTTCGTTGCGGTTTTCAGTTTTCGGCTTAAAGGTGCCCAGTGTTTGCAACCAAACATCATATGGGTAGAATCACAAAATCACAATACATGCATTTTTTTCTTTCCTACGAGCAAAAGTGCCCTTACATTGCAATGGAATCCAATATGTTTTGAAATCAAACTTCAATGAACACAAGTTATTCTAACCGGTATATATGAGCATGAGTTATAAGCCCTGGACATATATGAGGTACGGAGGATTATGCAAGGCAGTTTGAGAAGTAAAAAAATGAAATGAGAAAAATCCCTTTATTCTTTAATATTATATTAGATATAATAACATTTTGAAGTGGCCGATTGACTTGACTTGCCACGCTGACACGTCATTCCATTTGGATCCTAGCTGCTGGTCCGCGCATGTGCATCATCACGCGGCAACATTATTTCTGGACCAGCTTGCGCATGGAGTCTAGCTACGTGACAAAGAGGGAATCCAAAATACTCGATTTGTCTCTATCTATTAATAAAAGATCTCAATTAGGACATGATTTGCTAGATCTAAGTCGCCTTAGATGTTGCAAAACCTAGAGATGTGTGTTTCTGTGAAGGGGAGAGAGGCAGAGAGAGAGATGAGAGTAAGGGTCAACCTAGGCCGTTGGAACTTGACATAAGATCTAATAAAGGATCAAAATAGGATAGTTAGGATTTGCAAATTCTAACTCACGATATAACTAATAGTCCATCCAACCCTGATACCACATGAGCTACAATCTTGCGAAGCAAATAATTAGATATATATTCGTGTTTACAGCCTATGACAAATCAGTTTATGAAGTTTTCCAGTGCGGGTTTGATTTGCACTTGCATTCTCAACTAACCGGCGTTGCTCAGTTGGAGCACACAGACCTTCTACTTCCCTTGCAGGCATCCACCTTGACGGCTCCAGTGACGTCCGACTGATGCTGCTCACCGGCAAACAATACAAGGCAAGGGACGCGTACGTTGCGCTTGCCCCAAACTCAGGAGAGATGGATCCTCGTAGCCGCAGGCTAGCTGAGGGTTATTAGTACTAAAAATTAGCAGCTAAAATTAGTATTTGTGGATCCAAACAGACCTGCTGATAAACCTGTTAATTATTAACTGAAGGGTTGCTAACTATTAGTTCCATTTGCAGGTTTGGAGTTGCTAATAGATGCTAATAGCTCATATACACCTTTAATTTACAATCCAACCACCTATTAGCAGGTGGATCTAAATGGCCCCCTACTGAGGTACTAATGGATACAAACAAGCCCTAATTTGGGAGTCAGCGGTCCCAAAAAAGTAAAACTTTTTCTAGATCTACTTTAAGGATAGACTGAGCACCTGAGCCAACCTTTTCTACAAGAATGTTCTTGATGACCACAAGTGCCAAAAGTGTGATGGTAAAATCAAGGACACGCAACATGTTTTCTTTGGGCGCAGTTCCATATCCTCACTCTGGCCCTCACTGGGGCTTCCCGCAGCTAGAGCGCCTACTAATGGTGAAGTCTAGAGCCTCCCCCTTCCCCGTACTCTTGACACCAAGTTATGGTCCTCGATCTTGCTTACCATCCTTTGGCACTTATGGGACGCAAGAAACAGAAGTATTCTGCGGCAAACGCTCCTCGATGCTTTGTATCATCAGCCAGGTTATTGACCACCTTACCACTTGGGACAAGTGTTTCATCTCTAGGAAGGTAGGCACTAAAAATGGTATTCGTGTGTGGCGAATGTATCGGCAATCCTGTAAACATACACTTGTGGTAATTGTCGTTCCAAGCTGGAGCCCCCATTTAAGTTTTAATAAAATGATTCCAGGTGGGGATACTCTCACCCCTAGTGTCGCGGGTTCGTTGCCGCGTCAAGAATTGTTGTTCATCGGATGTCAAGAGTGTGGGTCCCCGGTAGCTCGGGTGGACTCAAGAACACGAGGAAAGACACGACGATGTATCCTGGTTTGGGCTATCGTGGCCCTACATCCAGCAGTGAGTAGTTCTTCGTATTCAGGAGCACCCAAATTGGGGGGTTACAACGGAGGAGAATGAGAGTTTGGCAGGGGATCGCTCAGTGCTATCCTATGGCTCGTCGGCGATGAGGTTTCTTCCCCAGCGAGTAAGGGAAACGCTCCTCTCTCTTGTTGGGTTGCCCGGTGTAACACCTGGTTTTAAGGAGAAAAGCAGATACACACCATATGCGAGCCCAGGAAGTCAAATCACAAATATGGCTACAAATAAGGGTAATATCAAAAGATAATGCTTTATTACATAACGTATTTAACACAAGATATACAACATTAGACAACAAACAGCGGAAGGACAACTCTGATCTCCAGGCGCAGACTCCAATTCCATAGGGACAACTGATTGGTTGATCACAAGCCTAACTCCTCCAACCTCTAGCAATCTGGTACCCATCCGGGATTTTTTCGAAGAATTAAAAAGTAAAGCAAGCATAAGTACATATTGTACTCAGCAAATATAACATAAGGTTCATGAGGCTCAAAGAGTTGACACTGGTTTAACTGCGATTTGCTTTTAAGTTGGTCACAATTTTAGCAATTGAGTAGCAACAAGTTATCATAAGCCCATAGTAAACAAATGATCAGGTGAACATGAATAATGAATAGCATAAACAAATTAACCATTAATGATCATCTATTCAATAAGGATTCTAGGCCGCTCATGATTGTGAGCACGGCTGTTATAACAGTTTTACACTCTGCAAAGGTTGTACACTTTCATCATGAGTCGTGATTTACCCTTTCGTCCGAGGTCGCGAGCCTCTTGACCCACTTCTATGAAAGGTTGACAGGGTCCACTATGAAGTCTTTCAAAGGTTCGTCTAACAAGTTAGTAGCCGCTAGGTTTCGATGGCAAGCAGATGTTGTAGAGCCCCCCTTCCGAATGGCATATTTCGCGCAGGCTATACACATAGAGACAAAGGCCGCACTATACCCATCTCGGCAAGCCCCTTTTGCACCATAAAGGTAACCACTAACAAGCTAGAACAGGTCCTCATACTTGACTAAAGCTAGAGCCATATAGCACTCATGGTTGTACTATAAGTTCCGAGGTGATCCCTTACAGATAAATCCTTAGGGAGGGGAATCTAGAGCATCACAAAAACAATGCTCTAGCCCCCTTTTTACCATGTTACTAAAAATCATTTTTTAGTGTTTATTACATATACCATTAGTCAAGTTACAAGATCATGGTCTTTATTTGAGCACTAGCAATACTACCCAATGCATATTCCCATAGGTGACTAGGTATAAGTACAAAGCTAGAAAATCCTTAGTTATAACAAGGTAGACACATGCAATATGAAATTAGTGATTATTAAGGTGAATAGGTAACAAGGATGATCCCATGCTATACTTGCCTCAAGTTCAGGTCCTCGGTTGGTCCTAGCCTTCAAAGAACAGCTTCTTAATCACCAACGTAAAGCTCACCGACTGGACATCATAATGCACCACACAAGCATCCAAACACAGACATGCATAGAATACAAATATAACTAAATTAGAATAGTACACCAATCAATAAAAATGTTTGAATCTAATCTACGTACTGCTATGAGCACATAAACGCGAAAAAGCACGCTAATCGGAGCTATGGTGCGAAAGAAACGGCTATCGAAAGATCTACTTTATGGAAGAAAAATAAAATTATAAGCTTAATTTATTTTAACTATATAAAAGCTTGTATACTATATTTTAGAGAAATACCTAAATTGAATTAAGTCAAATTATATTTGTATTAGAAAACCAACATGAGACTAATCTTGTTTTATTTATAAAAGACTGACATGGAAAGCCTAAGTTACTTTTAATTGGAAAATTGATTGCATATAGATTGATCAAATTAATATTTTATTTAAAAGCACAAAATAGGCTAAACAATGTTACTATCATGTAGATTATGTCATTACAAATCTAATGCGACTTGAACAGATCAAAACAAAGTTAAAACAAAAATCTTATGCATAAAACAAGGTCAGTGGCAGTTTTGTAAATACTGAGATGGATTTTTCAAATTAAAATAAATGAAAATT